CTTCCAACCCTGACAGTTCTATGATTCCCTGTAGCCCCGTGAACCCCTGTATGATGGGATTAGAGGCGCCAGTCCCTTCCCAAAGCCCTTCAAGCATATTCCGTTGGAGGGCCAAGCTCGGGGGCACCGGTGTGCCCGGAGGCAGCGAGCTGTAAAGCTGCTGCTTATCCCGCTGCAGCACTGTGGGAAAATCACATCTGATTAGAGGCTCCCAAAACAGGCTTCCCTGGCCCTCAACCCCACATGCCCAGGGGACGCGAGGTCCACGTGACGGCATGAATGCGGTAACACAATACAGCCCTTGAGAAACGTCCCTGGTGTGGGCAGAGGCCGGAGGACAGAGCCAGCGTTGTTCTGTGGGCGTAGAGGCTGCACTAAGGGCAGGGATCAGCGGAGCAGCTCCTGAAAAACTGGGGGTAAATGGGCCAAACCAAAAAGAAAGCCTTGTCTGCCAGCTCCACTCCAGCTAGGAGATGTAAGCAGCACACGGACGCCTAAACATCACTCAGGGTGACAACCCAAACATGGAGTAGGTATCTTCAGCACCTGCAAGCTTCCCTACAGTCACCACAAATAGAAACTTAAGCGGCTTTGGCCACGAGTCATCTCCAGCCTCTCACTGCCCCCGCACATCGCTTGTCTTTCCCTGCCCAGGCAGAAATGTGTCTGTTCCCTTATTTTCCTTCTTGAAACCAGTGCCACCCACTCCAAACAACACTTTCTTTCAGCCTGTCCCCAAGCTTTTCAAGCCAAAGGAGAGATTTCGAGTTAAAAGTTGTTTGCCACACAGAAAGAACAACAGATCCAGTGGATTTCTCAAAATCGATACGTGTAATCCCAAGTGAGAGGATCTTGCTTTTACACATGGTGCTGGGCTGCTGGGGAACACTTCAGTGTGTGGGAACCAGTGCAGAAAAGGAAATGTGCAGTAAAAAAAATAATTAAATTCTGATTCCTTGTCTTAAAAAGCCTTCAGGGACAGGCAGAGCAAGCCACAAGGATCCTAGCGTTGCTACAAGCTGGTCTCCAGCATCAGAAATGAGAGCAGCGAATCCATGTGCTGGGTGCTCTGCCTGCAAACTGCCCTATTTCACAGCCAGCACTTTCCTAACCTCACAGGTCGCAGGCAGTTCGGTGCAGCAGAGCTAAAGGCAGAGCCATGGCAAGAGCTGACACCTGTCTTGTGGCTATTTAGCCTCCCAGTTGCCAGCTTCAAGAAAAGTGTAGCC